TAGGAGGAGACCCACAGCTTTAGGAGGAGACCCACAGCTTTAGGAGGAGACCCACGTTTCAGTTAACTCTGCACCAGAAAATGCACAAGGCAGGTGCAGGGAGAACACAACTGGGCGTCCTACACGAATACACACTTTAGCCTCCGTTCCCTGGACAGCACACAAAATACCTCAAAACCCGTATTTGACGACTGCGGCAGAGTAATGATCGTCATCTGCTGCGGCAATTAGAGCAGCAGATGTCCCATCATCTCGCTGGAACGGCGGCTTCGCTGCCTCGCGCGGCAGAAGCCGGGCAGCTCAGGAACAGCAGCGAGGCGATGCCGAGCACAGGGTTCGGGGCACGGTCCCAGCGCTGCCACGCTCCCCCCGGGCGAAACCACCTCCACGCCTCGTCTCCCACCCTTCGCCCGGCTGCGCTCCTGCCTGCGCTGGGCACTCCACAGCCGGGAGCACGGACCCTCCGCAAGGGCCTCGGACGCTCCTGCATCAGGAGCCTCCTGCGCCCTGGACCAGCACAACCACGAGGTTTCACCTGCTCCAGCACACGCCGGGGCTCGGCAGGGATCAGCCTGTGTTAAACTGCTGCCTAAACGGCGCCATGTGAAGCCCCTACTGGAAATGCAAATAGAGAAACGGTTTCCTACCTACTGCTGCCTTCCAGCAGACTTCCCACAGCATTTCTGCAAGTGGAAGAAGAGGGGAAGGAAGGAGAAGGGAAAGGCTGCAGCAGCTCCCCAGAAGACACAAAGGCATTCACGCTGCAATTCACACCCATTTCTTTCCAATCCCCTTTCCCCAAGACCTTGCTTTTCATAATCCAATTCCTTAAAGCAGCCTATTTGCTTCTTGGACTTGCTGGAGAAGCCCCGAGCCGGCCGCCTCTCCGAAGTCCCCAGCGGGCTCAGCGTGCTGGCTGGCGTGGAAGCCCTCCCCTACACGTCCTCGATCCTCTCGCAGCAAACAAAGCCGCAACATCCCAGCCTGCAGGTACATAAAGCCTCAAACTTTGATTCTTCCTTTCCAAGTCAGGTGCTGCTCAACTGAGCCACCTTCCTCCAGCCCCAGCCCTGCCCGTGGTCGGTCAAACGCCTCTTGCACTGCAAAACCACCCCTGGGATTTCCTGTGCCATGAAGTCTGAGACTCTTTATTTCCATATTTTATACGAGAACATTTTTATCCTTCTGCTCTATAAACCACTGATTCAAACTCCACTTTCATTTTACTTGCCTATAGAGACAAGAATTTACTTTCTAAGATGGTACAAAAATACTACTTTTAGTGCTAATGCAAAAACTTTTGTCTTTGCCCTGCAAGAACACTGAAACTCCGAGGCTCCCAAAGTTTCCCAGTTCTTCTGGCTCATTTTCCACGCTTGTTTATCCAAAGATCTTCAAAACACAAGTAAATTTGGCGGGCCCCAACCTTACAAGCGACAGCGAAGCTCAAACAGGACAACGGCAGCAGATGCCTGTGGCACTTCCCTAAAAGCACGTGAAATCCCGGCAAAGGCGAGTCCAGCCTCGCTCCACAACAGACCATCGCAGTGTCTACGGCGACGTCTCGCTCAAGTGTTTCACAGGGTTGTGTTCTTCAGATGGTAGAGGTGCATTTTATACTTTTTCCATCTCATCTTAAAGATAAACCTGAAGTTTAGAACTGAGCGGGGAACGAATCAACTCTTGGCCCCAGCAAATAACCGGACCGAGCCCGCAGCAATCTCGCTCACTTCCCTGCCTCTGAAAGCCTCCGCCGCGCTCAGGCTGCGCCAGCCTCGCCTCCTCGCCACCATCACAGCCTCTTTACACATGGGGGGTCAGCCAGGCTCGAGCCCTCCCCGGCGGCACGCGGTACCGGGGGGGCGTGCGGAGCGCAGGGCACACACCAGCGGGTAACCGCATGGGGAGCTGCGCAACAGCCAAACCCTTCTGGAGGCGTTTGCTTCAGTTCTTGAAGAACAAACACACCCCAAAACCCCCCAGGTTCTCAAAGGCCGGAAAGGACGTCCAGGACCTGGGCACACTTTACGCCTTTGAAAGCCTCCCTCCGGTTCCTACGAGCAGACACCGGGGTGACTGCACCAGGAGGAACCACGCCGACTCCCTCCCACCCACAGAAGGCTGCCCACAAACTTCCGCAGCCCTTCACGACAGCGGCCCTAAATATAGTCTGTTTAATGGAAGATTTGCAAATTGGTATGAAAACGTAAGCAGCTTTACAGACACTCCCCAAGGCACATGAAACAACCACCAAGTTTGCCCGCAGAGACCATCGCAGAGGAGCTGACTGAAGAACCCCCAGGGCCCCCAACCCTCTAAGAGAATTAACACCCACGAAGGGGTGAAGAGCCCCCTCCTCTAGAGCAGAAAGGCTTCGAGGGCCCACCAGCAGACCCTGCTGTAACAGCAGCTCTCGATGCCTAGACAGCAAACCCAGCTCCTGGTTTCCAGGTTCAGCTTTTGGTGGTTTCTCTGGGGTTTTTTAAGAGCAGTTACTTGTCTGTCCTCGTTTACCCTACATCCAGTTCTGAGATAAGCGGCCAGTCTGGTGCCCGTGTCCCCCCGCCTCCGGGGTCAGCGCAGGTTCGGTTCTGCTGGCTGCGGAGCCCCGGGAAAGCCGCACGCCGACTGCCAGCCCGTGGGGTAACGCTGCCCCGCAGACGCCCCGCTGCGCCCACGGGCTCACCCAGGCACCGTTCGGCCGTCGCCGCCTCCAACTTCCGAGGGCCAAAACCCCGACCAACACAAAACCCCCTGCGTGCCAGAGCCACACCTGCGGTGCCGAAAAGAAATGAAACCACTGCTATTCAACGACACCCTCTTTATTCAAAAATAGATATCTATGAGACATTTCAGAATATACTGCTGTCACAAACGGCAGCCTATATGTCTAAATTAACTCCTAAATCAATTCATATACAGATTTAAGCTTTTGTTAAAAAAAAAAAAGACACACCTTGGGGAAATCTGTTTAACCTTGAGAGAACGTCACCCAGTTCACCAGATGCCCTTTGCCCAAAAAGTAAAACAAATAAAATTAAAAGCCACAAGACTTCAATTAAATTAAGCAAAATAAAACACACACAAATATTTGGAAAAAAAAAAAAACTCGGAACATTTCAATTTAAAAAAAACCCAAAACATACCACACTCTCACAGAAGATCGGCCCAACGGCGTGTGGTGTCAACACATCTGTCTACACAACTTCTTTTCTGACAGCTTTTTTGCCCTATAATGGATACACATTCAATCAACGGTCAAAGTAATTATTGGTTAAAACAGCCTCAGGGTAACTCCATGAGCTGAGAGAGGCCAGAAATGAGTCTTTTGGTTTGGGTTTTCGAGGTTTGGTGGGGGTTTTGTTGTTTTTCATTTTTGGCAAAAGCAGAGAAAGTTCAGTGCTTTATCTAAACAATGTTTGGACCACAAAAGGCTGTACAATCAAACCAATTCATGGAACAAATAGTTCTGCCACTGGAAAGTTTCCTGTAAACTGAAGAGATAAACACATTTCTTGGCTGGGCAGTAAGGGTGCAAGGAGCTTTAAAAAAGGACAAAATGAAGAGTCAGTAAGAAAAAGACATGAGCTTCTCAACAACTTAATGACCAAAAAAAGCTGTATTACCTGTTTTAACTGAATGCTGAATAGGCTAGTGAATACCCTGTGAAATAAATTAACGAGGACGCAGAACAAGCTTTGCATTTCTGTAGGTTTCCTCTCACGTCCTTGACAACAGCAGCTTAAGACTATAGGGAGGCACAAACACAGCACACCACTCCAACTAATTTCAGCCTCTGTGTTACAAAACCTGTACTATCAGATCAAGTGTTTCCAGAAACTTAAAACGTTTTATAGGGAGGTGCTAAATTTAAACAGAATTGTTAACCCAAATTGGAATGGTTTTCAGTGATCAGAGTCCAGCTTGTTAGCCCTAACACACAAACTGAAGTGTAACTACGTCGTGGCGGCTACAACATTAGCTACAACATAATGGAATTAAGAGTATTTTAAATTCGGCTTTTTTTTTTCCTCCAACTTTTCCTGATCATAAAACTCAACTCACAATAATCTGTGACACAAAATTAAGTACATCCTTCTAATATCTACATGCATGGACATGGCACATGTGCATATATACGGGTCTATTTTCCATATAAATAAATATTTATACCACATTTAACTTCTGTGCATCAAATAACTTCACTAAAGCTATGGAGAGAATTTATAGACTGCTACCTTTCAATGTAACCATCCTGAGAGGAGATCAGACAGGGCCTGTCCCAGGGGTACCAACGGTTGCAATACACCATTCGACCTCTCAGCTTCTGTGACCACCTAATTTCGTACAATGAAGAGGAAAAATGTGGTATAAATCTAAGGTAGCTGGGACAAAATGTACTTCCACTCTTGTGTAGGTAATACCTAGTTCTGCATTGCTCAGCAGAGTGTAAATTGCGAAGCTATCCCTAATTGACAAAGAAAAGCTGCTTATTTTTATTGCCTGTGGTGAGTTTCAATTTATGTACATCCCACACAGGAACCACCTTCGTGTCAGTCCCACCACAGGGCGAGGAACTGTACATTTAAGAACAATATTTCTCTGTACCACTGCTCAGCAGACGCTGAGCTGACACGGCACAGCACTGCACATGCACAGACACATCCCTACAAAGCCCACTAGCCACTCTACTGCTCTCAGAGATGAGGTTCAGAAACCCAACTAAAACAGACAAGACTTATTCAGAAATAACACAATACTTTTACAGAGGAAAAACATTATATGGTCAACCTTTCTTTGAAAGCTTTCCAGGTATGTACATACATGATTCTCATGACTTTTGTGGGGGTAACAAGTGCTAAGAGCAAACAGCAACTAAAGAGTATGGAAAAACAGGACAGAAGTTTGCCTATACGGACTATCCCCACTCCCTTCAGAGCCCACAACAACTCGCTCTTCTTCCTCCCCTCAACGTGAGCCAGTGTACGCACAGAGAGAGTGAGCATGAGCAGCCAAGAGGTTGAAAGCAGGGTCTGCAAGTTCCTTCCTACTGTCGGTCTTGGAAGACTGGATTTCCAGTCAACACCAGAGTCTTCTTACTTCTGCTGGTAATAACGGAAACTGGGGGACACCATTTGTTCTAGTCTGTTGAAAACAGGTCACCAGCAGACGGCAGAGGTGCCAGACCTCCCGTGACATTGGGCAGCAGTGACAGATCTGGAAGGCTCTGGATGTGGGATTTCAGCTCCTTGCGGACCTGGGTTACCCGAGCAAGCTTCTGCTTATATTCCTGAGGGAGAGAGACAAGAGAAGGAAGGTTAAGCACAGGTTAATTAACAGTGCTTTTAGTTAAGCCAGGAGTATTTTCCAGGTGAGGACTCAGAGAAGGAGGCAAGGCACTGGTTCTCTGAGCAACTGCTGGCATGACTGCAGACCCCGTCACCCGCACCCGGCCACGGGCTGCGGCACCCCCAAACCCCAAACCGCAGGCAGGCCCTGTGTTACCGTAACAGAAGCTATGTAAAACGCCCCCAAAGCTGCACCTGCCAGGCCCTGGCAGGGTCTTTGAGAGCAGTGTCGTTACACCGCTGCTCCATTCTCGGATTCCTCCCCAGGCTACTGGCCTGCACCCGCTGCCGGAGGGGAACACCGACCCGGCGCTCCTCAGACGCCGCTCCACCGACTGAGGCACGCCAGCGGTACCACTGTGCTGCTAAAATGCTCTTTTTTTCCAAGCTTGATCAATTTTGAATATTTAGATAATCCAATTCTCCCTTTCAAGTCATTAAATCAAATGCAAGTTTTGGTGGTGAAACAGGGTCTCTGCTACAAGTTGTTGGACAACTCAGGTCGGCAACCACAGCAGCTGCACCGAGAGCTTGGCACGTCAGAAACAACCCAGAAACACGAGTGTGATTGCTGAGTGTGAGCCAGAGAAACACACCCACGCTGGACTGAAGCCAAGCAAGACACAGACACTAAAACTTACAGAATTTTATTACAATGGGAGAAAAACATGAAGTTAAAAAAAACGCGAGGAAGAAACTTCCAAGTAGTTTTTCCCCAAATGAGGTCTGGATTGAGCACTAAAGTCCAGTAAGGAAATTCTATCCATCTTCAGAAATCTCCACAATCTACGAGACAGCAGACAACAGTGACTAGTATCTCTTAATGTGAAGACAAAGAGTTTGGACCCTGAAAATGAAAGAATCAACCATCCCCTGTTAAATTCTGTTTAGAGGCCATTTAAGAGCAGATCAACACACATCCAAGGTATCTAACACAGAAGCTCAATTAAAGATTGATGTCTATGTAATTTTCAAAGTTTTATGATTCTAAACCTTTATGTAACAGTCACAGAAGACAGGTATTTAAGTAATAAAAAATCAGTATCGCATCATTTCTTTTGGAATGCACCGGTCTTCACCCAAGCACGCGCGGCATCTCCAGAACGCAGGGAACAGCCTAAGAAACACCACACACAGAACAAGCTGCCAGACAGTCAGTTGCAATATTAACTGATTTTTAATTTCTTAATTACTTGGCAAAGAACAGTTTAATAGAGAACAGAAGTTTATCTTCAAAGATCAAATAAAACCAGGCACACATTTAATGAAAACATCTTTCTGAAGTTTCTGACTTTTTTTTTCTGAACAACTTTAATCCAGTCTCTCCAACCCTCTCCATGACAGAAATTCTCTTCACCTTCTCTGAAAAATCAAAGCACAGCAGCTCCTGCAGGGTTACAAGCAATGAGGTTACACTCTCTGCGTTTCATTACTTTGAATTAGAACAGTGGGAGCAGCAGTCAATCGCAACAGCTCAGAACACCCCTGCGCCTGGAATGGCTCTGTAAATATATTCCATATTTCCTGCCAGCACCAAAGAAGAACGTCCTTTAACAGCCTATTTCAGACCCAAATCCTTTTATGAGGCTGTGAGTTAACGCCCCACCAGCGCCAAGCACGTCTGTTGCCGTACCCAGGCCGCACACGGCAGTGATGGAGTTCAACCGGCGCTCCGCCAGCCCGATGAACCGCAGCGTGCTGCTGCGAGCCCGGAGGAGGGCAGAGACACCCCTCGGGAGAAGGTGTGCCCATGGATTCAGGGCTGCGAGGATTTGGTTTGTTTTAACGGCAGAACAAGAAGCAGGATCACAGGAAGAACGCACCCCACCTCCCTGGTCACACGTTTGGGGAAACGCCTAGATAGGGAAACAAGTCACGTTATGGAGATGGGAACAAAAAGAGGAAAACACCCCAGATTTTTCAGCCTGAACACAGAACAAAAGCAAAGAGGGAAGCCCTGGAAGCACGGCATCCCGACACAGCGTACTTCTCCAAGAGAACATGGAGGCCAACAGCGGGGAAAGAGAGAGATGGTGAGCTGAGCGCTCTGCTCACGGCTGGCACAGCACGAGTACCGTGACACAGGGGGACAGCAGCACACCAGCTCCTGCACACAGGGGATACGGGCAGCAGAAACACGTGCTGTATTCCAAACGCTGACAGACGGAAGGTGGAAGAGGCTGGATGCAGAGACTGCTTTTTGCCACCCCCAGAACTCTGTCTTTTAAATAAAATAATCATAATTCAGGACATTGTCAGGGAGTGACGGATACCCAGCCAGGAAAGAAAGGGCAGTGCTCTCTCAAGAGCACCAAATTCTGTCAAGAGTGAATATTGGCAGGGTTTTTTTGCTGTAGTAATTCTTAATCAAGATCGGAAAGAAATCAAAAGAGGGGCAAGGCAGCTGGCAAGTCCTCCAAGTCTGATAAATGGGTAGAAGGTACAAATTCCAAGTGTAAGCCAAGAAAATACCTCAAACACTGCTTGAATTGCCAAAATCCACGAACAAGAATTCTGTAAAAACAGGTACAACACAATGCCCCCCTCCACGGGAAGACTAATGTCCTGCCACTTTCAGGGCAAACCTGGCAAGAGCACCAGGATACACTACTTCTAGTGCACAATTAGACCAGGACACTCAGGGTTTTTAGCTGAAGGCAATTTGTGTGACTATTACAATTGGATTAGAGCCAAACAATATTTCTTCCCCAACAGAACTATTTAGGGGAGCGAGAGTCTTTCCAACGCCTTGCTTGATAGCCCAGCTCTGAGAAGACACACCGACAGATGAAGAACCACTAAGACGGATGCAAACCGTACTGGCTTTTACGCTATGGCACACAGACTTTGGAGCAACCCCTCTACACATTAGCAGCAGCACCCTGTTACCAAAACTTACAATTAACAGCTTCAAACATTTAGGAAAATATTGCTCTTAATATATCCTCACTTTCAGGGATACTCTACATCGAGGGCTACATGGAGCACCAAGCTATCAGAAACACCTTCTCGATCTGAACAGTGACTTTTGTACATGTATGGTGACAGAGGAAAAAAAATCAAGTCACCTCGTGAACCACATCCATGCAATTCTGAGTAACTCTACCTTACAGTAGGCTAATGCAGGCATTCGCTCGTCCACACAAAAGTATCTGTTGAAGCAGCAAAGCCTAAATCCTGTATGTTTAAAAAAAAAAAGAGGAGGAAAAAAATACTCACAAGGAAACCACAGCAACAGCCTAAAAACTTAACAGCTTTAAAAGCTCTGGCTCAGAAAAACACTAAATTCAGGAATGCAAACAGTGTTCTAAGCGAGCAATCCAGGAACCAAGATTTCCTAAGAGACGAACACCGCCGGACAGATCTGAGCCCCAACACTGGCTATGCTGGAGAACTCTCCCGCACGCTCAACACTTTCCATCTGCTCTGGTACCAAACCTTGTGCTGGTTCACGGCAGAGCCGCGAAGGACTCGAGAGCCGGGAGGCCGAAGCCGGGGCGGGCAGCACCGGGCAGGCACGGCAAGCCATGGCCGCGGCAGGGCCTGGAGGAGCCCGTCACTGCGGGGCGGCTGCTCCGAGACATGGAGAATCCTGGAGTCCTGCTGCAACACGGATCTGCGCTGGCCAGGGAGACGCAGCCCTGCACACGAAGAGCAGGGCACGTTACCTGCGTGTGCCACGGGGAGGGCTCAGGAACACCCCAGCCCTGCTCAGGGACGCGCCAGCAGGACACGCAGGCCCCTGCCAGGCTCAGGGGCTTCCACAAACCGAGCAGTGGCCACGTGCTGCAACGCAGGACTCTGGAAGCAGCTTTTATGGGGAACAATGTTTTTCATGCAGCCCGTGACATGCTTTGAAACTGCACCTTGCAGATTTTTCCATCAGGTCCCTCCATTCTATAAAAGTGGAAAAAATAGGAAGTGTACTTAAAAGAAACCGCTGCTTTCCGAGGTCTGAGTTTGTACTCCCTGGGTCTAGCTAATTGCCTAGCTGCATAGCAGGCTTTCATTAAGATTAATAGTATTTGGATGCTATTTGCTTTTTTTAGACAAAATAATGAGATCTTTGCTGTAAGCAGGAGTTTCAGGATGACACAAATTGGCACCGTGCCACACAAACGCATTCACTAATCAACATCCCCTCCCAGCACGTAGCACGCTGCGTCCCCAGCAGCCAAGCGAGTCAGGTACCCGGGCCTCGAAACAAATGCAACGTCAGAACGAAGCACCACGGAACGAGCGGGACAGAAGCGCTTCGTTCAGAAGAAGCCTTGAACGCTGTAAGCCTGACCGTAACTGAGACGACGGGGAACTCGCCCTGAGGACGGCTGCGTGGCTTGGTTCACCCTGCCGCCTCACACAGCACAGACCGCATTTACTTCAGCTTAGAGCTTGCACGGGACACTTCCATTCCTGCGCTGGGTCACGCAGTAACATGCCGTATGTCACCACAGCAGTTGCACCTCCTGAAAACCATCCAGTTAAGCATTAAGGAGAATTTTGGAAGCGAACAGGAAGAGCAGCCAGCCAGGCTCAGTTTTGATACGTGCAGCTTCAGCCAGAGGTACGGAAGCAAAAGATCACAGCCGTGGGGGAAACACGCACCAGGAGCTCGACAGACGTTTGACACGGCACGAGCGGTGTGACAGCAGTATGTTTGTATGGTCCTGTAAAATCTCCAGTTAAAACCACTCAATATACAACACCAACACAGCAGGTTGATTAGGCATTCCTTAGCTTTTGCTGCTTGCCACTTAACTTATGTAAAGTACTTTTAAAACACACTCATTAAAACACGTTCAAATGAGAATGTCACAGTGACAGCGTATTTATAAGAAATGACCAACAGGAAGGGTGTTGGGAGAAAATTACCAACAATTAAAAGCTTTCGAAAGCAAGGAGAGTCAAGCTCCTGCTCAGTGAGTATGTGGACAGCACACCTAAGTCCTTGTCTTACATCCCGATAGAACACTGAGACACAGCACATCAAAATCAGGACAGTAAGGGGGCTTTTGTTTGTTGGTTTTGGGGTGTCCCCCCCACGCCAGGTTATTCTTTATTATCTAAGGAAGCACAGATTATGATTAATCAGTATGTCCAGTATCTATACACCTAGAGTTCAACCCAATATTATTTTTTAGCATAAGTAATTTGTCAGGTAACTTTTTAGAAAGCCTACTGTTCGATTTCAGTTTCGTGCTCAAGAACAACTCCAGACAGAAGATGCCCGTTCACACGCTACATCTACATTCACTCCACCTCCTGCCAGGCTACTCCCTCCGGACCTTCCCCAAGCAGTTCAAAATTCCCCTTCCCCAACGTGAAGTGGGCCAAGTCTATCAGCTCTTTTCCCCTGCCTTGAGACCCACCTCCTTCCACATTCTCTCAAGTGTCACGTTTGAACAAGCCCAGTTTTAAAACCGTACTCTACCCTGTGTTTCATACCGTATAAGCATAAATCAACCCTCCCACAGGGCGGTGGAAGGCATGGGTCAGCGTGCCAAGCAGATTTACCGAGAGCACAACTAGGAGGGGGGAACAACAGCTTTCTCCGTGTCAGTTATAACCACCCAAACCTCAAAGAAAGCAAATTTTAAAGAGTCTGTCTGCAAAACAGACATGAACGTGCCTTGTAAAGGAACCCTACAGTCCTAGAAATAAAAGTAGTCTTGGTCAAAAGAAGGCAGCTGACAAACATTCACCCAAAAATGGAGAGAGAAAAGAACCAGAAACAAAACATGAATTATCCATAACCTTGCTTATTTCCATGCAAATTCAACTGAACACAAGTGAGAGATCAGACGCATTTAAGGCTGGATCCGGAAGCCAAAGTCCTCCGAGCAGCCTGCCTGGACGCTGGCTGGCCGAGGACGCACGTGCCACCTCGAAGAAGCCCTGTGCCCGCGGTGCTGCAGTTCGGCGGGCTGCCCTGGGCCCCTCCTCTGCAGGGCTCACCAGTGCAAGCCCAGTGCAAGCCCAGCGCGGCTCTGGAACGGCCTCTTGGCAAAGCAGCCAGGAACCCGCAGAGCGGAGCGTCGAAACGCCCGCGGCTGCGCAGCGCCTGCGCCCTGACCTCCAACCGCGGGAGCCTGCGCCGCGCTGCCCAGGGGACAGAGCGCTCCCGCGCTGGGCACAGCCCCGCGGCAGCGCTGCAGGCAGCGTGGCCACTGCCTCCAGGGGCTCTCCACAGCCACACAGTCCGTTTGCCCCTGCCAGAAGCCGGATAACAGCAAGGGAAACGTCTTCCACTTCACAAGGTCCGTGCGGCAGAACCCACCTCAGAAGCAAAGCGAAAACAAATGCTAGTGGCGAGGCCAGTTTTCCTTATTTTGCAGCAGCACTAAACCAAAAAACCTGAGGTTTTTATACAACACATCCGAGAGATGC